AAACCAAACCAGTCGTGGGCTGTCGGCGAATTTTGAGTGACTTCATGGTTAGTGCATTACGAGTATACCGTTTTGTTCAAAAGTGCACGTGTAGCACTGCGAGCATCCAGCTTAGAAGGAAACGCATCCCCTTCTATCCGACTTGTCTCATACTCATCAAATTTTAAATTTACACTGGTTTCCACTTGATTGACATTCACATAAAATTTACTGCCTCTGACTGCCATCATGTGGAGCCGTTCAAAATAGTGTGCTGAAAAATCAAATTACGCAGATAAAAATGTCGTAAAATCGTAATTCGTCTGCAGCATTCGTCCTTGAATGTCGTGGGCTTCTGTTCGCATTCCCAATGCAGTCAAACGCGAGGAGGAACAACGGTTCACTATAGTAATATCTACCAGTAAAATTAAACGGTATCAAGTAGGTGAGCCCGGTTTTGTTAACCGCTAGTCTAACTAGAATTTGGCATATGAACATCGAGCCTAACAGACTGTACTCTCCTTTTCGGCTTGGAAGCCTGCCCTCTTCTAGGTAACGTTCTTGTTTACCTAAGAGGATATAGAGGTCACCGACGCGTATGCAAAGTTACATCAGCAGGTCACGATAATTGTTTCCTTACAAGAAATATACCTCCAAACTTTCTGTCTGATCACCTATCGATTTGCGAGTATGCCTTTGCCGGAGTCTGAGTCGTACTGTTCCCACAATGTACGTGATTAAAAATTAATACATTCTTGGTTCATGCCGCTCCTCAAACGTTGTGACGCCTTGTCCGTTTTTTTGCTCATATTGCATTTGGAGACGGCTCAGTGGTTGGAGCATGGATTTACTGACTGGAAGGTCCACGGTTTGAACCCGACCTGAAGATGATGTTGATGATGATGACGATAAAGATACCTGGTCTAACACCTGGTTTGATGGTATTATCCTGCGTTAATGTGTTTCTACCCATTCCTGGCTTACCTAGTCTGTCTGGCCTTAGTTTGCGCCGTTTGCCCCACGGTTATTTTTACTCGGGCAGTTTATCCGTTTTTTTGGTCGGAGAACTACCAACGACTCAAGCTACCATCAGTCTAATTCGAACGGTCAGATCGACTAGTTCGATTTTTCATCTGATATGCAAAGGAACAAGTACATGCTTTCCGGTAAGAGCACATCGTCAGCGGTAGTGAAAAATGCTTTTATTGGTTGACAAGGCATCGATCCAGGTTGCTTGTACACTTTTTGGGTCAATGTTAGCTTTGGTTTAGTTAACAATAAGCAAACTGACAGCATGACTCTTCTGAATGCGCTTACCGCGATCAGGCCTGGCGGAAATTTTAAGTTAGCGCTGTGTAAAACAAGGTGATATGGGAATAGAAAGTTGTGCAAATAAGATGGGGAACTTAGTTTACTGACCTTTTTTAACTGCAGGTCCTGTTGTTTGCTTGAGTTTGAGTTGCCATGACGACGAGTTTAGGGCAATAACGATAGGTCGCATGATTACTTTACCTTCATTTCAGTGGAGAGTCAACTGCTCCAGGAATTAAACTGTGGTACCTGACTAAGTGGGCACTTTAAACCCTACTTTTCCTGATCCCAATGAGCAATGTTCTCTGCGATAATTCGTTTTATCATTCGCCTGAGGTTATTGTACATTGGGACAACTATCAAAACTATCAGATAACCACCGGGGCCAGTTTCTTTTTCGAACCCAGTCGTTGCAGGCACTTGGTAGATAATTCAATTTCCCCTCATTTGGGCAAACTTTCATCCTCATATTCTGCTCACTTACTCAGGTGAGATGAACTGCAGACACCTGGTGAGGAGTGCACTTTCCGCCAAATGAAGCAAACTCCACACTCATTCTACACATCCAGCCCAGCGATTGAAATTCTTCCCCCAAAGTTAGGGGATGCCATATGCAATCCACGAATCCAGTATATAGCTGGTGTTAAAGCTAGACGAGCTTCCCGCTAAACTGCAAGGATTTGCTGTTATTTTAGAGTGACTGGATCTTTCTTGAGCAGAAATGATCCACTGAGTGTTTCCAGTTAATCCCTTTCCTAAGGTTAACATGCACGGATGAGTCTGCCTTGAGCCGCAGTGCTACCTGGATATTTACGGATTAACTGACTAAATAACGATATTTTGGAGGGCATTAAGCGAACCAATCACGTCTCACAGGTCAATAATTCAGCTGAGTCTGGTGTGTCTCAGCAGAGCATTGCAACACGCCCGTCTCGCATCTCAGATTATCGGAGTTCAGTTCTCAAAACCATGGACCCAGTAAAAGTGGAACCCAAGCACAGTTTTCAGATTGGTCGTTGATCAGGTGCCTGATCTTAGCAACTGACTTGCAGACGTTTCGTTGCCATTTGAGGGCACATCACCAGTGCCTTCTTGGGTGGGTCAGCTGATAGCCTTGAGTCGCTTGTCAAGCTCAGTGAACAGATCAAACAACTGCCTGATCAACTGCCAATGAGCACACCCGAGCTACCAATATTCGAAAACAATTCATTCCAACAGTTCATTCAGTTTCTCCACGGCGTCTAATGGACTTTTGGAGGTTGCTTGGTGGGTGATAGCTGTATTTGAAATTCGGTCAGTTACCTACATTGATTAACAAAAATCACGTTGAGGGATTCAATGCTACAATGAGGCGACGTCATGAAGAGCTTATAACAGTTCCCTCCTTCACTTGCAACCGGGCGGTGTGTCTTGTTGGAAATTCGCGGTGTGTCTTGTTGGAAATTCGCGGTGTCCATCGACCGAGCCAAATAAGCCATAAGTAGATGACCTTGTCTGACATGCACTACTTGCAGTCAGTACCGCCTTTGTCCACTGTCCAGTGGTCGACGGGCTGGCATTCAGTATCAAAACAGTATGCAGGATAGTGATGAACGAGGATGTCTATTCGGAATTCGTACAGAGCCAGATGCACCTCCAGCACATCCAGGAAACAATTCTCGGAAAGCAAAGATAAAGCGCTCATCTTCCATCTCAGCAGATGTGAACTCCTCACCGTAACAGAAATGGAACAGAAAGGGAGGATAGTAACTAGGTAAAGGGGGAAGATCGGGATATGAAGGTTCTATTACTATGCAAGATAATGCAACGAATCCTTTCAACCAAAACTCCTTGGTCCGTGTCTCAGAGTGAGTGAATAAAACTCCTGGTTTAGCTTCATGTGAACTGAACCTCCACGCGCATGATTCTCTAGTCTCCAGAAGCGCAATGGCGATGACATCATTTGTGAATTGTGAGTCGCGCTCTTCGCCACCTTGAGAAGACTGCATCTGCAAGGAAATGCTGTTCTAATCATACGGAATTGGCGAGGTGTTCATCATCGTTCTTATCACCATCACCATCATCATCATCATCACTATCATCATCATCATCGTCATCATCATCATCATCATCATCATCATCACCAACAGATGGAGCAGCATTAGTGTTGGCATAGATGCTTCACTGGCGTCCAACCAGAAAGTTCATTTAATTACAGTGAAAGCCTCAAAGTACACCGGAAAACCATTTTGTCCTCTACAGTTTCACTAAAAAAATAGGGCTTTCGGGTCCATCATGCTTCTGGACAATTAGTTTCACGTGGCGTGGGATGATCCGTTGGTTTGGGCTGTGTTTGTGGCCAGAAGCAATCTGTCATCGGGCCTCCAGATAAGCTCCTATGCTTTCTAGCTGTTATTTGCGGGGATTCACTCAGACTGTCTGACACCATTTGTACTTTCCTACTAATCTCCCATGCGGGTCATCACGATTAGGCCAAAACTTTAAAAGTAGCCTGAAGAAAGCAACAAAGTTCCAGAGAACTTTTATTGCGTATTTGCTCTATTTAAGTAGGTTTGTTTCATTTGTTTGTTGATATTCGCTCGAAAGCATAGTCAAATTAGCTGGTCGCCTCTCAAATAAAGTAGATCTTCTGACAGGTTACAACTTCATTCCTTCCTTGAATCAGCGCGCAGTTACCTTCCCTTTTGCAACCTTGAAAATGAGTAGGAGAATCGTTTGGGGACGTATTCAAAACAAATAGCGAGAGTGTCCTCATATGAAGATACTTTCATTCCCCACGAGTGACCATTCTGAGCTAAAGTCATGTCTCAAATATAGTACCGAATTGGAATTTCGTTTACTATCCCAAAGTAGCCCGATCCACAGGCCTCTCCCTTCAAAATGAGACCCTGTAGCAACCTAAATCAGCCCGACTTTGGTACATGGTTTATTGCTGGAAAACGTTACTAAACCGAAATTGAGGTTTGAGTGATTCTTTCGGCTTCCGCTTACCTGTTATCCCACAGTTTTAAAATTTTTCACCAGAAAATTTCCCCTAGAACTGACCGCCAATCTGTGAGTTGTTGTTCATGGAAGGCGTTTGAAAGTATGTCTGTCTGCTTCCGGCTACTTTCGTTCTTTAATCCAGTCTCGCTCAAACATTCTACTCCTATCTCCGACAGAAAGTGTCACTCATAAGAGCTGAAATTACCCAATTCCTGTCTTTACAACTCACCTCGTATTCGTATTCACACTCGCATGAAGGTGATATTGGGGTAATGGATTGGTTGAAATTATTTCTCAACAGTTTGTATGCCCGTTTCGAAACCCTGCTCTGCACTGAGCCAATAATCAGGGGTTTGTCGCTTCAACCATTCCCTTCGGTCAGAGGAGTGCTTTCCCTCTGCAAGATGACGTAAACAAGTACATTCGCAGGCGACTCGCCTGAATCCCAGATAAATCTCTTGTTTAGAAGCAGGTTCGTTCACCGAGCTCTTTCTTCAAGCTTTCGTTAACTTCCTATACGTGAGAGTACGTCTTTGTTACACCCTTCTCAGCGTAGATAAGCTGTTTTTCTACATCCAGCAGTGTGAAGTTATACAGATCACAAATGTTTCGCCACCAACCGAGGTGATATTGTCGACGACGATGATAGCCCTCTTGATGCCGATCCGTTTGCATTCCAACTGAAAAACTGGGAGAACAGAATAAAGACCGAGAAAAACACCCTACCTACCTACAACATCGCCAGGAGCATGACAAGGTCGCGGTAGTGGCCTGTTACCTCCCTTGATATGCACCACAGGTCGACGAGTTTGACTCTGTCGTCCCCCGATACATTTAAACGCGGAGATTCCATAGATCCGCTCTTTTTGAGAGACTCGGCAACCGACTGAGTCACTGAGACCCAGATTTTTGGATCATTGTCTCCATAGATAACTTGGGAGACGGAGTGTGGTGATTGTCTGTTGCAAGCGAGGAAAATGGGTAGACACAGTGAAGAGTTCTTTCACCTACTCTTGATATCAATGTCTCGATTTGCTGGTATTCTACTGTTCGGTCGGCGGGATAGTAGACACAAGTATTCAAACATTGTCTTTATGTGACCATTAGCTACATGTGATGACTTAAAACTTACTCACAGCGGGTAATGCCAGTCCAGACTGAACAAGTACTGTCACTTTCACTTTGTGACTCTGTTCATCCAGCAGTCGTTCTTTTTGACAAACATTTCATGTGAATGCCCCTCCTATTGAATCTATTCTGCTGATATGAAAAGAAATTTTGGCGTAAAAATGCACGGGAAGCTCATAGGGTGCCACGGCAGAAGATCTCGCCATTCTCCTAATCCGATCCTTCCACGTGTGAGCAGTTTTCCCCTTTTTCGACATCTTTATATTGTTAAACTTACTTTTTTTGACAACGCATGCATAAGAGAGGTGTACCTGAAAGACCAAAAACTTCCCAAGACTTTTCATCGATTTTACACTGACCATGTCAAGGAAAATGCTGCAATATCTTGAATATACCTCCAGCTGCAGACAAAACGGTCTTCCCCTAGCTCCACGGGTGTTCCATCACAGACATTGAGATATTGCTCTCTCTGAGGTTTGAATAACCTGAATAACTCCGCCGCACGGTTTGACATGCGTTCCACACCACCAAAGTGCGGAGTGCTGCTACAAGGCTGATTGAGATCAAATTCAGACATGCAGACAAGCCAGTTGACATGGGAGATAAATTTGTTTATCTGGACCGTGGACTGGCTGGAGATGAGATTTCTTCTCGAATCGGAGAGGCCAAGGCAGCTTTAGCCAACGCCCGACATCTATGGCGCCTACTTGACGTCAGTTTGCCGATCAAGAGCAGACACGTAATCTGCATACCAGAGGACTGTCTTCATCGCACAGTTCCTTTCGCCAAACACTGTACCGAGTGAGAGGGACGAAGAGATAGACAACATATGATCTGGCAACAAAGTACACAAACAATAATCAATAAATTGAGTCAGGTTGATGACTGCCGTCTATGTAGATGAGGTCCCCGGGACACAACTCACCAGTGCTTAATGACACTGGCAGACATTGCAGTTGGTGACACTCGTGCACCAAAGGCATCATTTTCAACATGTAACTACCCAGTTCCAGAACTAAATAAACGTACAATCGCTTCCAATGCTCGGCTGCGTCTTCCACGGTATCTCAGTGTCCAATGATCGAAATTACAGCAGCTGGAACCTATAAAAACCATGATACCTCGTTTACAGCTGATATACTGAATTGAAACTCGGACACCTTAGTTCATGAGTACTAGAGAATGAGGGACTCAGCTGAGTCTTCCATCAAAACGAACTTATTTGGCAAATGAACAGTCTGCTTGAGTGACATACCTACTTGTTTTTATCCAGGTATTATGAGTACCGTTCAAGCCAGTCGATCGAATCACACGATGGGAATGATGTGTACACGCTTTTCTCCCGAACACTGACGCTTGTGTAAGACGCAATAAAGACTAACTTAGAGCAGCAAATGTGTACCACTTGAAACTTTTTCTGATCAGGCATGGACGCCTACACGAACTGATGTTGGCAATTCTCGGTTTATCACGTGTCATATGGCACAGCTACGTATAAGGTCTTTAGGTTGTCATCTCAACAGGCCTCTGATCGCTTCCTGCATAAAAGCTTGTTTATATTACGGGTATTACACGAACCACACGGACTGTCCAGATGAGCCCACAAATAAACAAAGAGAGTGAGACGTTATCCACGTCGGAAATGAGCGGTTTATTAGCGACATTGTGGTTAGCTATGAGTGGCGTTCACTTTGAAGGTAACTTTCTTTAGTTCGGAGGTCAATATACATTCTTACCGAACACCTTTGGGAAAATTTTGGTGTAGGTAGCAAATCACAACGACCATTGCAATGCACATCGCTCAACAAAGAGACCATCTTTTTCAAGCCAAGTTGCAGATAGGCCAGTGTTCTTGAGTGGTCTGTAGTTTGAACGAAAGGAATTCAGTTTACTGTGCAGTGAACTTATCAAGACCACATTTGCTAAAACCCGGTCTATTCAAAGAATGAAAATATTTGCCAGTCCCAACTACTCGTTCGGCACGGAGATTAACTAAACTCAAGAAACAAAACATCCTTCTTGGTCCGTTTTTGAGGAGGAAAATACATTATCTATAGTTCCTTGCCAGGCATGGCACAGTTGCGCCCTCAATGACGCTCGTGCATTCAAGCTATTGCCTTTGATTCCTATCTCTCTTCTCTTTCCCCCCACTTAATATTCCATTGGCAGTCCTGTATTTACGAAGCAATTTATCAGCTCCCACCTCCAATGCGCAACTACCTACCCCACCTCCCCAAATCATCGGTGAACAAAACTGTGGCAGCCATAACCACTGCACGACAATTACGTGGTTCTTCCAGCTGATCAGAGTTCTTGCATTATATCACGTGTCCTCCTACTAAAAAGCCTCAAATCCCCTGGTCGTCTACAGTGACCTCTGGTTGCCACGTTACACAGTAGACATTCCTCTTAGAATCGAACGCCATCCTATCTGCTATGCATGTGGTTGCTCTGGCAGATCGTGGATGCTACTCTCAACTCAAACATAAGAGTACTCGAGGATTTAAAGTCAGCTATCTTACTTCGAGACAAACCCAATGTAATCGACTATTTTCAGTAGACGCATCCTTTCAGAATGGAAGAGCCACTCGTTTTCGTGAACATCTGTCCTGAGAACCTATCCCCTCCCTACAAAGGATGAATTTCACCGTCGCCACTTTTTTGATATTTTGTCCCTAGTTGTCGGGCTAGCCTTAGGGATGAAAAGGAAAATGCATCCGGTAATTTGCTCCAGAACATCAGTCAGGTCACATTACTAGATGATGCTCAAGTGAGTATATTTGGACCACACTTGGTAGATAGATCAGAGGATGAGGCACGAACTTACTAACCGAATGCACCATGGTTCGAATCCGAACTCTGTATCTCGACTGCCCCTGTCTAGACTTGGACAACCTGGCATTATATCAGCTCTCTTACTTCTTTAGAGTAGCATGACAACTAGGCACCAAAAGGATATTACGTCTGAATCGCAGAAGGACAAAAATTCGTCCATAAGTAAAAAAAAGTGAAACTCGCCACTTTGGCTACCCTTAAAAAGAATTTCAGTAACTGTACTTTTGAATAAAGCGACGTGAAATTGGACGTTTCTGTCTTGCCTGTGCTTCTCGTCATCCCCACTTACCGTTAGCTCTCATTTTGAAAATGTACCTCGTGAGGTTGTTAGTCTAGACGACATTTTGATATTCAGAGTCGGTCATAGTTGTGGTGTCTCAGAATCATGGTAATACACATCTTTCGTTTCGGAGGAACCACAACTTTGGTGGGTAGAATTTTACGAAACAGCATTGTTTACTTGTAGGAAAAACGCATTGTGTAGTGGACTACTTTCTCTTTCCCATCTGCTAACACCTAATCCTTGAATCTCTGAATAATCGATCGAGTGTGAATGAGTATCTCGAGCTGCTGGCTC